CGGAAACACATACATGTTTAGACAGAGAAAACCATGAAACATCATGAAAACTTTGAGATCTATAATATGTGCGATAATCCGAAACTTAATTATTACTCCGGTAGAACTTCAATTTATTTTCGAAGGCTTACTGTAGGCACGTCGCGTCATAGAAAAAGGTTTCTTTTTTTACTCACCCATAAGCGGCATGGTGCAACGCAGAGTAATCTTGTTCATCCTAACAATTCACAAAAAATGTAAGATAACTAAAATAGTGCAGAGCCTGTTTATAGCAATAATAATAATGATAATAATAATAATAATAATAATAATAATAATAATAATAATAACGATAATGATAATGAGAAGAAGAATGAAAATTATCGAAATGTCAACCGTCTCTAAGCAAAATTTCGGAGATATTTCACCTGAACAAGGGCCCAGTTGGTCGACTTTACACAGGACTGTAGACAATTGAATAAAACCACTGAAACATACAAACCTTGATGTCCTTGTCAGCACCTTTATCTAAAAGGTACTGTACAATTTCTTTCCGACCCTGATGACAGGCCACATGAAGAGCTGTCTTGCCTCCTCTTTTATGATCGATCTAACAACATGAACAAAACATGCATATAAGTAACTTATAAGAACGTAGAATGTGATGAAAATGCTTGATTGACCATTTCTTGTCAATATTTGCCAGCTAACTGTGATTAATTAATAGTGTCATTTGGTAGTTTAAAGGGTAGGTATCTAAAAGGTACCTTTCTGTAAACTAATTAAAAAAATATCGAAACTGAGTTGTTTTTGCATTTTTACGTGTTCGTGACCAATCAGAAATTAATCAAGCCGTTCGCAACTTGCGTGCACACGTTCTTCCGCGAAATTCAGCAGCTTCAAGAATCTGCTTTGAGTTTTGATTGGCTCAATGAATAAACGAGTCTACTTTCAATGGCTAAAGCCAATCTTGATTGAAAACCGCTGTAAAGGAAGTGGATTAATTTGGGGGGGATATTAGGGGGCTTAAGCATCAACGACAACGAAGATTACTGGAAACGTCAAAGTGAATTCGCGCTGCCTCAAACTTTATCGCGCTCATTCCATCTTGTTTAATTCGTCAAATGTTGGCAAATTTTGTTGGAGTTGAATTCTAAAGGACTGTTTCAAAGTTCAGGAAAAGGATAACAAAGTTGTTGTCTAGTGTTCCCGTCGTCGACAAAACGTCATTTTAGACACTTTCACGTTGTAGTCGTGCAGCGACGGCTAAGAAATATACAAAAAAGCGTAATGCACGGGCAAATTAGTTGTTGTTTTGCCAATCTAAACCTATTACTTCTTTTTGCCGTTCTCGTTGCCGTCGCCGTCGTCGTTGCTTAAGCTCCCTGTTAGACGCAGAAGAATACCTTGCCAGGATGTGCTTCAAGAATTTCACGGACCTCCTGAAGGTTACCATTGGATGAAGCATTTACTAATCTGTCTCCTGGATCGACACTGCCTCCTTTGGATGTAACAGCTTCAAGAAGAAGCATCCTTAACAGATCCGTTGCTCGGTCAACTGTGGAAGGGAGTTCACAGTAATCACTCAGAGTAGTCAATTCAGAGGCAGTCAGTGACCGCATTTTTCCAGATTGACATAGACTGATATATCGGAAAGGCACAACTCGCCTAAACAAGTTAAGGGTAGAGCGGGGGTAGCATGTTTGCAAACATTCCAGGAGATAACACCCAGTCAGCGTTGCACGACATTGTTAATTCCCGTTCAAAATTTGGTTCCAAAATAGCACGGGGGCCAATCACATAAAATGAAACGTCATCTAGTGGATAAGTAAAGAGACTGACAGTGCTAAACATGGGACATTAGCTGTAGGGACTGAAGTTGCGTTTATACAAACTGAACCAGAAGAGTTCAGTTGTCACGCAGTTACCTGGATTAGTGGGGGAAGTATCGCCTCGTCTTGATGTAGATTCACCGCCTTCCGAAATATCTTCTAATGCAGCTGGGTTCAACAACCACAAATCCGAATCAACCAAAACCACGGCATCGCCATCAGAATCCACTTCTAAGATCCTTCCCTCTTTTCCTAAAGCCTAGTAAGTTACGAAACTTAGTCAGCATACGGTTCTGATTGTTATTTTAAAGACGAGCACCCATGTGCCATATATTTTTTGTGGCAAAAGGTCTACAATTCAGAACCTGAAACTTAGCAAATAAAGTACAATTCTGATATCCTTTTTCAGCGTAAACAAAAGATGTTAGAAAAAGCGACAACGCCATCCGCGAATTGTACTCAGTGTTCCATGTTAACGGTGCGTGATTTACATTAGAGGTTTAAGCTCCCTTTTCCGCTTTTTATCTGCTGTCCTGTAAGGTACGTTTACCTAAGACACAACAAGTGCCAATGTCGTGTGACATTAAGGTGATCGGAGGCAAATGTCAAATACCCTCGACAAAACTGAAAACTCTACCTCCAAGAGCACACAAACTAACTACTCGTTTGGTCTGTTGCTCTGCAGCACAATATTTTAGAGTATCCTAAACCTTCACTCTTGTTCTTGGGCGAGACTTACCATCTCAATCACCCACGACATGATCCCGTCTGGCCACGTAGCTCATTCGGTCTACCAACGGTAGATTTGTTTCGGATGTCATATCGTGAGTTTAGGTTCTTCCGCGGGCCTAACTTTAAAGTTAACTTTCGGTTCTATTATTTGCACGTTTCGCGTATTAGGCTGCAAGATTGACGGAAGAGCCTTGCCTTGACATAACTGAGTAACAAAGAAAGAGTGATGTATCATAGCCGCCGTAAGACCCAAGACTCACCGTCGTCATTTTCTCATTCCAACCACCATGGCCCTGTTGTAGATTTTGTACAAGTTGTTTGTCGCTTAAAATTCGGACTTTATCTCCTGCCTGAAAACTGGGCACCTGTGGAGTCGAAATACCAAAGCTTATTCGCACAATAAACGTACTATTCACACTGGCGTTCAATTGCTTAACAACGAACAACCTCTTGATTTGGGCTCGATTACCAGCCGCTGTTCAGAAAAATGAGCCCGCACTCATCCTCCAGAAAGAGCGGCTGGAAGAGTATGATTTCCTTTACGGGTTTCAGCCAATCAGGTTACATAGGTACCGCCTGCAGAGTTTCGTCTGGCAACAATTTCAATCAATCAATCAATAATCTTTATTTATACACGATAAGTATTTAAAGCGACGCTTCGCTTGTGGGGTCGTGTCTAAATAATTAAATAAGATAACTAATGAATTAGAAAATAAATAGGATATACACCAGCTAAAATCATATAGCTACTTACTACTTACAAGTCTAAAACGATAAAAGCTTAAAATTCTAAAGTACAAGGTGGTACTCTAGTATCGACTAATTATTAACACTAATTATACTTAGAATCTTCCTCCCTTCTGGTTAATGTTTGAGGGGAGATACAGTCGAAATCTAGGTGTAGCAGAGCCTTTGACCGTCTTGCCATAATCGCATATTTCTTAACATTGTCTATATCGTAATTAAGTTGAGGAACCAACGTGTTCCAAACTATTGCTCCTCTACGAGCCACAGAGTTCCTCATGAAGTTGGTGTTAAAACGAGGGACATCAATTTTCAGTTTCTTCCTAAGTTGATATCGCTTGATGTTATCATTGTTCTTAATAATAGCTGACATAGCGTCTGGAGTCAGGTTATTGTGGATTTTATACATAAGCTTAGCTAAGTTAATTTTATGCATAAAGGCTAAAAAAGACCAATTAGCCTTTTTCATAACATCTGCATTAGACATCTCCCAAGGTAGCTCAAAGATAATTCTCGCAGCTCTACAATGCAGTGCTTCTAATGCCTTAAAACCTTCCTTACTTGTGAGGCCTCCCCATACTGATATACCATATATGATCGACGGCATAATAACTCTAAAATACAAGTCTAATAACATATTCTTTGGAAGAAATTTGCTAGGTTTTAACAAGTTTAACTTATCAACAAAGCCTTTTTTAACAACACTAACATCATATTGATCATCTATCAATACGCCTAATAGACGAGAGTGTGTAACCCATTTGATGGTGTGCTGGGCCAACGTTAACTCTTTCAATGGGCCAGTGAATCCTCCACGATGGAGGATCATTGCTTCCCATTTCTTTGGATGAGGCACAAGGCAGTTTGTTGTGCACCAGTATAGAAGATCTTCCAAAGCTTTGTTAAGTTCAGAAATTACTGCGTCGATAGAATCGCCAATGCAATATAGAGTAGTATCATCAGCATACATGTAGGTTGTCAGTGGCAGTGGTTATAGCTTCAGGTAAATCACTTGTGTAAAGAGAAAATAAGGTCGGTCCTAGAACGGAACCCTGCGATATTCCAGATTTAACAGATTTTCGCATAATTTTATCATATCAGAATAGAGAGGTCCCCCCAGTTGGCTTTCGATCGAGTTTTAGAATCCTTTTAAGTGCCCATCACCTAAAATTTTACATTTTGTTATCTGAAACTATACCTTATTAAAATAACTTCTGCGAAAAAATTTTGCCATTTCAACAAAACGCGATTTTTTAACCAATTTTTGAAGTTCACATTTTTGCGGTACACCTGCGCCGCTGATTACGCAAATTAGCAGACTCATATATGACGCATATACTCATATACTGTACTATTATTAACTTATAGTTACTTAGTTTCTTATTATTTATTTTGAACTTTTTTATTAGTCTTAATTTAGGGCTCCTATTGATAACAGATATACTTTTAAGTATTCTGAAGGGATTACCCTAGTTAAATAAAGGTTTACTACTACTACTACGCCATGTGACGTAAATTAAGGAACTCGCATTACCTTTCCTTCACCAGCTGTACACAAAAAAGATCAATTTCAAGTAAGGATTGAATCACAATGTCTTCGCAAGAAGAAAATTTTTCTGAAACAGAAAAACCTACCAGAACTTTTAATGTTTTCCTGTCGATAAAGTCACGTGTTCCTTAAAGTGCGTCATACCCCGAATAAGAAGACTAAGACGAATGGTGTGCCAAAATGGCGGCAAATTTGAACGTTTTTAAAAAATTCTAAAAAAATCGTCTTTGGTTCAAATCGCAAAATTTTTTCGCAGAAGTTATTTTAATAAGGTGTAGTGTCAGATATGAAAATAAAAAATTTTAGGTGATAGGCACTTTAAACTCTAAAATTTCTAAGATCAGAGACAGGCACTGGAAAAGTTAGTTAGAGGTCAAGATGTGTTCGTTATTCAACCAAAAGGGTCGGGAGAGAATCAAAGACCAGACCAGAAAGACGCCGAGGAAATCGAGCATTCTTTTGATCCTTAGCAAGAGAAAGTCTGCACTCAAGTGAGAGCAAGATAAGCACCACGGCAATAGGCGAGATAGCGGACATTCCATACATACCTTTGTTATGGCTTGTGGATGGAAAACCCAACTTTGTAGTCCATAGCTAACGTGAACATCACCATCAGCGTCAATTTTAGATATTTTGCCAACTTTGCCTATGCACTATAAAGATGAGAAAGCTGGTTAAAATGTTTTCCTATGTACAACATGAAGCACAGAATCAATAGTTAGAATCATCTTGTACAGCATGAAGTATATATCACATTTCAATTAATAGTGCCACAGGGAAGTACTTCTCGGTAGCTCAGTTCGTTTGAATGGTCACGCGTTAGGAGATGATTCAGACTCAACAGTTAGAACCACCTTGTACAGCATAATAAACAGTACCGGCGGAAAGTACTGCTCAGTACCTTTCATTTGAATGTTCACACCACAGGATTTCATCCACAGACTCAAAAGTTAGACCCACCTTGTACAGCATAATAAACAGTACCGGCGGAAAGTACTGCTCAGTAGCTTTCATTTCATTGGTCAAAATTTAAGATTTTGTACCTAGACTCAAAAATTAGAGCTACACTGCAATTTTCGTGTTCCAGTTTCACTACCAGACCGCAAAGCTAACTTCAAACGACAAAGGACGCGTTTTCAACCGGCCGCTGAAAAATTTGAGCGGACACATCGCTCATACGGAATCGTTCAATATTTTCGCTCTGTTCACACGGACCTAACGAGCCAGGTTGAACGGCTAAGCGTATAAATTTTTTGTCCGTGTGAACGGAACCCCTAAACGCACAAATTTTAAACCAGTCGAAAATTATCAGCAAATGCCGTGTGGACGTAGATTGAGGCCGGACAAGATGTAAACACCTACATTCAAGTATTTCAATTCTAACCCTATTACAGTTCACAAAGTAACATTCACGGTACAGTTTTCTGATCCCCCTGTTTTCTAGCCTCCCACGCAGGCGTTTTTAGGGGAGCTCGTAGCTCCACTCCTTAAAAACACCTGCGAGGGGGGCTACCTGTTTTCTTAACTAAATCGTGATTCTTACGTTAGCCATGTCATCAACCCAGCCACCATGACCAGCAGACATCGCTCTCAACACCTCAGCATCCAAACACACAGATACCCGATCTCCGACACGCAATCGATTTGAATCGAGTCGCCGTCTATTTTCTCCGAATTTCGCCAAACATTCACGATAGTATGGCGGCCCAATCGCAGAGGATGAGCATTTAAGGTCCACCTTAGGAAATAACAAACACAGTAAACATTTTAGAAAAAGTATATATTGAAATGTTTCTAAAGTATGTCCAAGTACCAACGTTCCAAGTCAGCCAGAAAGTTTCCGCTAAAGGTTAAAGAGTGGCTCGAGGGGGATACTCCAAAAAAATACTTAAAAAAAATACCGCGATTTCGCGGAGAGCATTCAGTGTAGATGTCAACAGAGCAGCTTATCATTAATTCTCAACCTTACAAAACACGCTTTAAGACTGAAACATAGGAAATCACTACGTATACTGTGAAGAGCCGGAGAGTACCTGAGAATGCGAAATCGGGTCTCAAAATTTTGCGCAAAATAATCAGATTAGAAATCCTCCGCAGAGCCGTAGCTAGCAGGGGAGCAAGGAAGGCTGCTGCCTCCCCCCCCCCCGACCTGTTGAGCTAGACACATCAAGTCTTTGGATGGATTTGTTTTCTTTAGACTCAGTTATTTTGATTTGAGTGACTTGCATATTCGAGGTCGATTTTTCGGAGACATATCTCATGACAAGAGCTGAAAATAGTATTTCGCAACCTCAGACCCCGCTACAAGCATGGTGCCTTCAGCTCGCGATAATGCCCCGCCCCGTTACAAAAACCTAGCTATGGCCCTGCTTCGAGAGCTACACATTATTTAGGAAGCTGTATCGAACACACAGCATAGCGTTTCTATGATTTCCAGACAGCTACATGTATCTGGGGCATCTGGTCACCACGCCACCAAAAGCGAGATTCGGCAAAATTTAGGCAAGGATGCGAATAAGGAAAGAAAATGACATTTGGGATAGCGACGAAAGAAGTTTGGGATGCGCAATTCCCGTGAAAAAGCCGAAAACCATTAGGGATTACTACTAGTATTCCTTCTACCCAAGGACAATTACAAAATGGAATCAACTCCCAAGGGAAACA